TCTGTTTGTACAAGGTCCATGGAACGACGTTTACTCCTGGCGAGCTACTTCTATCTGTAGCGCTTCAATGTTATCAGTGACCGACATGTGAAATTTGGGAAGAAGAACAGAGAGGTACAGAGAGGAAGGCGGTTAGACCGGTAGAGATGAACGAAGGTGAAAGGAAAGAAGGTGTACAAACTGCGAATTGAGTTGAAATGAGCAGATGGCGAAACAGTGATAAGTTAGGGTCCCCTACGTATAGTAGGTGAAAAGGAATACCTAGGGGTCGTAACAGATTGTGATGGAGGGCGGAAGAATAGGGTTGGAGGAGGAATGATGACAGTTGATGCGAATAAAACTTCCTCGCTCAGAAATTGTCCATCCTGTGCTGTTATTAGTTGTGTAGTCTCCTTTGTGTTGCCTTTCTTGTGCAATAACTGCTCCTTTATCCCTCGACAATTTACAACCTTGAATTTGTTGACGAATTTCTATCCCCACGTATTTCTGGGAGCGCTCTTATGTAGTGTGCTTGATTTCTAACGATGTTCATTACAAGGCCACTCGTGGGATGAACTGCTACATGAGCGATATGTATGCCAGTCTATCGAAACCTTCGAGGAGGCTATTCATTCCAGAGCAGCATAGAACTTACTCACCTCTGACGTAATCTGTGTATCTTATCTTCATATTCCGACGTAGGCACCTTTGATTGAACGCATCCACTTTTTCGAAAGGTTAACCGTACTATTTGATGGTTAGCTTGTGTAAACTGCAGCAGAAGGGACGATGAGAAGTGTAAAAGCCTTCAAAGTTTACTCATTCCGACTACGAACACCGGCTCTTATACCGCCGTGCCGTTTTGAGTGGTTTCCTCAGAGATTTCCGAGGAAACTTGATTACAGTCCTCACCATTGTAATGCCAACCCTATTGTCCACTTGTGAGCAGAGCTGATTTTCATGTTTTTTTACTAAAGCTGATGCGTAACCGAAGCTTTCTTAACTGTTGAAGACAGCGGAAGCGTGTCATGATTCATTCCCGTACTCAGCAAGAAGGTAGTCATCCACCAAAATCGAACTGACCGATGCGTGTAGTTATTTGCTCCATCGTTTCCCTTACTACAACAACACTGATGGAGGGACCCATCTTTGCCATCCGTCAAGTTTTCAGGTTGTTCTTTACCATCTTGACTATATTTCATGCACCAATGAAAGTGTTTCGCCTTGTAGGTAAGAGAACCTACCCCGCATAGCTAGGCATCCACTACAGGGCCAGAATAATATCCCTTCACTGCAACCTACAATTTTCGTTTCTTTAGCGTCGAAGTTTTTCTTCCAGTAAAAGGTAGTAGTGGTAGTCACTCTTCAAAGCTTGTCAAAGAGGCAAAGTATCGATTTCAGGAACAAAGATTACTTTTTGCTGTTTCCTTTTACTTCTTAATACTCACTTTTGACCTTCAAAATTTCGACTCTAGGAAATCTATGATCAAACAAAGTATCGGTCTCTCAGTGAGAGCTCAAAGAGCGGTAAAATCAAGAAAAAAGATTCACTCGATGTTGAGCTTTGTAACAGAACAAGTAGAGCGAGAAGTTTGTACAACCACAAAACCTCTACTCAAAAGATTTATCGGAAGAAAATCAACTTTGGCTCCACTTCCAACAAATTTAAAGAAGTCATCGCTTACAGTTGTAAACAAAAGTGAGAAAAGCAATAAATAGTTTAAGGGTCCGACTTTTCCACTGATTCTTTGCCTTTTATATCCGCTTACCTTAATTGCCCTGTTATTTGCAGGGAAAGGAAACAAGCGAATATCCGGTGGATGTGCAAGTGACGGCAATGTTGGCTGTCGTTCAAGAGGAAACGGGATCACAATATGCTCCTGTCATGGAAGTTACTGTAATTCGAAGGGTTATGGAATGCATGATGATGATAGTCGATCTGACACTGATGAACACTGATTTCGAACAACTGCCGCTGAGTTCAATGGGACTTTCGTCGTCTTTTCTCGTCCATCAAGCGTTCCACGCGATACCTACGCCTATCGAGTTTCTCATGCATATCTTCACTTCGGGTTACGATACTACGCAATTTGATGTAGTCCATTCGATCGCTCTACCTTCATTATTTCTTTGAAAATAAAATTTTTGATATTTTCCCTAATCATTGATTCATGGATTTTTCCCAGTAATTACTTTTTAGAGCACATAACCTTCTAATAAAACTCCAGTAACAAGTGAGATTCAGGTCTCCTCATATAACATTTAAAGTTCGTTATTCTATTGAAATGGTAGAAGTAACTTTTGATCTCAAGTGAGTGGCTTTTTGAATTTTGGGGAATAAGTTTACCCTGAACTCAGCTTCAAATGTTGAAGTGAAGAGAATGTGCTGTGCCTCCTCTTCTACGAAAGCGGTACCCGAGTTCTTGGCGAGTTATCGTGCCACGAATCACCTACTGTGCAGTTCGGTAGCGCATATGTAAGTTACTACTCGTTTTACTGACTGTATTGTTTTTCATGAGAATTCGATGTTCCGAGAAGAAATGGCGAACTACTTATCAAAAGTGGTAGGTTCCACGACCACATTGCTTCTGAGTTTTTATAAGATCATTTCGTGAATTCATCTCCGATCTGTCCATATCAAATCAATGGACGCACTATGAATCTGAACCCATCTAGTTTTGTTAAGGTCTTTGCTGTTTTTTTTTCACGCTTTCTCAGTTTTGCTTCAAAGAAGCAATCGAGGAACTATAAAGTTCTGGGCATCGGTTGCAAATTTGCAGACCAGCTATTCTATTTGAGACCTAATATCCTAGCGCGAATGGTTTTATGAAAAATATGTGATTCCGCCGAATCATGGTGACCTCGAAAAAAAAAGTTGTGGCGGTTGTTTTGTTGTTGAAGGGAAACCTTTATGGTAAAAATTCTCTTCTAGAAAGCGGCCTCCAAACTCTATCCGTTTCAAATGGAATGGTATGAGTTGTCGGAACTCTTAGTCATTCCACTTCATTTCAAATTTTCATGCCTGTTATGGACAGCTGAATAGGTGTTGAATCAAGTCGGAAATAGTTACATAGAACAAGAGCAAGAACTTCTAGTCTCTATGGGACAGTCTAAATGGAGGTATTGAAGATTCATAGGACCATTGTCTACTTGGAAAACGAACTGCTAAAAAGGAGTAGTAGTGGTAGTGAAACTGCAGTCGTAATTTTCACCTTTTCGCCATTTAGTAGATTACAAACAGAGTTTGTAAGGTAGTAATATCGATTTCAATATAATCTGGTCTCCATTTTGCCAAATCCGCATTCAAACCTTTGGAGTGGTTCTCATACCTTCGGTTATAGTTGGCTTCCCATGGATTCATCGACGTAGTCGATGAAGTGTTGGATATTAGTTAATGTATCTGAATTGCGCCCTGTGAATAGCTTTCACCCCATACTGAAATTTCATGATTGAGTGAACAATACTGTGAACTGCGGGACAAGGTGGAATTCAAAAGACTGTCTTCATTTTCTCACAGTATTATCATGCTCGAAACATCAATTGGCTCCTTCCTTAGATGCGCCATGCATGAGATGCCTCTGCGGGATTGCATTGATCTTTCAGGCAAGTGTTCACTGCTTCAAAAAGACCTGAACGTGCTAGTTCACGTACAAAATAAAGTTTTGAACCTTCTAACATGAGAATTTTCATAGTGAGCCTTGATCGATGTGTTGATTAAGGACTTTCCCCACTCCTCCCAACACTTGGCGCTTGACGGTCTCCAAGTACCCTAAAATTCCATAGATAAGAGCGGTTAGACTTACCGGTGAAAAATGAATTGGAATGAAATTGAAATTGAATGCAGTCACCCCTCTAACTCGATGGATGGATATAAACATCGGAGAAGAAGTTCAGAAGAATCTCCGCCCCTCAACTCTAAACCCCGCCCACTTAGAACAATTCATATGGAAAAATAGCGATTTTAACGGATCGCTATTTTTCTATATGAATTGTTTATTAAGTGGGAGTGGTTTAGAGTTGAGAGGCGGAGCTTCTTCTTGACTTCTTCTTCGGTTTTTATTCATCCATCCCTCAAGCTAGAGGGTGACTGCACTCAATTTCAATTTCATTCCAATTCATTTTTGACCGGTAAGTCAAACCGCTCTTATCTATGGAATTTTAGGGTAGTACTCAGAGGTGTCTAGTGATTCCCTGACGGGAAAGTGATCGATGAACCCCCTCTTTTGAGGAAAAAGACAGTGTCCGATCGAGCGTGTCCGAATGAATTTTTTTCATTTCCGTTCGCAACTCGAATGTATGGCGCATACCAAAACAGAATCGACCATTGCTGGGCTCCTGCACTGTCTGTACCCTGTTGCTATGGGCGTAACTTAATACATGAAAAGTTTTGTACTGGGAAGGTAGTCCTTTGAACAGTTTCTTAAACACTTGTTTACACGCAAACTTATCACAAACAGCCTTTGACGCATAAATTCACACTGACAGGAAAGGGCTTCCATGCCTGCTGAAAAGCTATGGGTTCCTGCAGTAGTAAGCTGCCAACAACAACTACTACAGCGACGTTGTTATTAGTCCCACAGCTATAGCTCATGCCATTACAGCATGTTTTTTGGCGAAAATAGTTTCGTGGGTGAATTGGTAGAGTTCCGGCCTGAGTTCAGTAGTGTAGTGGTCGACCTCCTCCCCGAATTCCCACGTACCAGTTGAGCATCTCCAGTCGAAAATTCGTGACATAAGAAAAGTGAAGTTCTTCTGGTAGGTGCGAAGTCTTAGCGAAAAAAGTTCTCCGAATTTGTACTGTGCTTCTCATCTCCGAACTGATGATGTTCTATACTTTTTCATTGGAAAGAAAGTGAGCTTTTGGCATGAAGAGGGAGGTAGTCAGTCACAGTGAGGTGTTCTAGAAATAAAAATAAAGCAATTTGTTGTTTTCATCAGAAGACCACTACAAACTTTATTAGGCACATATCCAGGCAAAGTACATGTGTACGCCTGGCGCCCTGCTATTGAACAAGGTCCATGGGCCACTCAAGCACTGAGCTACTTCTGATCCTTCAGGGACTCTGCAAAGCACCTGCAGGCTCATGTATTCTCCGATGATTCTAAAATGAACTCAAGTGCATGGCGCAGGCTTTTTCCAAACCTCAAACAACGTCGCCTAGTTACGGCTAACGTATAGTATTGAAGTAGGCCAAGAATGGATCTCAGCCCCCTGAGGACTAGAAGAATTCTCGGATCATGACGACGACGGGAACACTTCCCAATGATGGCGATGCGACCACGCGATGCCGTCGCAAACGATAAAAACATGGAAGGATTCTGTAAACAAGCGATTTACTTCGTCGGTATTGAGTGTTATTTCCCGTTGCCTTGTGAAAATATTTACGACGACGACAACGATGAGCCCCTTGTAAAGCATGTTGTTATCCGAGGCGCCTGAATCACGACACCGACTCAACAACTTCTGACTCATTATCACGGGAGACGGGCGTTAGGAACGATTTTGGGTAATCGATTTGCCGCACGCGGCTGTCGCGCACCACTCATTCACCGTTATTACAGCTCTGGCGTTCTTCATACAGCTCAATCGATATACGATCATTATTTTATGCATAATTCTACTAATAGTACTTCTGCTCTTGTATTTCTTACCTACTGCTGCATCCTGCTACATTCCTTCGCGCGCGACGCCCCTCTCACCGCGACGAGACCATTTCGTTCCTAACGCACCACACCCCATTATCACCTACCCTGATCAGCATTTTCAAGATTCATGGAATTTTACTGGCTTACTTTTTTGGCCAGTCGGCAAACCGGGTAATGACCAGGTAATAACTTAATGAGCGCTGATGTTTTAGGGGCCCACCTGTTTACCTTTCACCTGAAGTCGTTGCTCTAACTGAACCCGATTTTCACGATCAGTTGCTTGTCAGGTATTCAAATCAGTATCCGTACCTTACCACACATCCCAGCCCAAGCAACTCTTTCATCCCTTCGGGATCGTTAATTGCTAGTAGACTTGTCAAGGAGTATAAAAGCACTGAATTTACATCGGCCGGCCACCGCGAGTCATTGTATGGCTGCTTTCATAGTCCGCCGGCCGGGGGACTATGAAAGAGCCTATAGCTCGCACTCGTTCTAACCGCCCTGAGATTCTGAGTGAAGGTCAAATGCGGGGAGCATTCCAGAAACAAGATTTCTTAACGCCAGAGGCTTTATTCTTCTTCATGCCACTAACATCTCATTCGAAATGAGTAATCTTGAGGGGTAACGAGACTCACTGGGCTTCGCCAGGACTGGACCCCTGCACTGATAAGTGGCGCCCCCACCGTCTGGGCCACTTCTTATTCTGGGTGAGCTGTCGTGGTAGAATAACTACTCCACAGCAAACCTGTTCAATCTCGATATTAGTGACAGTACAGCCTGATAAAATGGCGACGACATCATCCCAAGTAGACAGATGACACATAAGTGTGCTATTGTGGATTCACGTCCACTGCCCACAAATGCGCGACGTTCTTGCATTCGTGTGGTATTTCGAATGGTCCTTTTCTGTCTTTGGGATAGTTCCTCGGTTTACCTTCCGATTTTTGCCAGGTAGAATACTTACAAATAACAACTAATAACTTACTCGTAGTCCATTACCGAGTTCCTAATGGATCACTTTCTTAAAGAGATCTTGAACATCGCAGAACTGGAAATGTTCAGCTTCACCAGATGTGAAAGTAGCCTGGATATATCAAATTCCAAGTCCTCTCATCTTTGAACCTCGGCATGTCTGTTGTTCTTGAAATCGTTATTTTTTGCTTCTGCCTCGAGGTTTGTAGGTGGAAATATTTATTCTGGCCGACGTTTCGACGAACTTGTCGTTTTCAAAGGCCTGAAAGTGGTTCAAATCGTGTTGATTGTACACTACCCCACCAAGCGCCTCTTCCGCTCTAGCGTTTCTAACGTACTATTAGGAATGCACGAAAAATGCCCAAAATCCGAAAGATAAGCTCACCTCACTTCCACCGCAAAATGTAGCCACGCTACACTTTGCGGTGGAAGCTTGAATTACATGCCTCACATTGTATCTGATAAATTACGCCTACAGAAGCGCAAT